TCAATCAAGGTTGGGAAGAATGACACAATGATTTTATTGTTGGGCTTCATCAAAATTTTATTTTTATATTGCAGGTTTTTTCTGTTTATGATGCTAAAATTGTTGGTCACTGATAATGTCCTTGTGCTTCTACATTCTTTTTTGGATTAATATGAATTATGCATAGCATTTGTTTAATGTGTCTGAACTCTGATCTTTTTGTAACCCTATCAATTAGCAGCTGCATTAACTATTCTACCATCAAGCCTTTTCAATTTTTTTGGTCCAGTCCGAATAAAATAGACCTAGGAACTGGCAGGACTGGTTCCTAACCTATATACCTACAGTTTCAAGTTTCAGACCAAGGGAATAACATACAATTTTGGTGGTTTGCCACTTTGCTTCTCATGAAACAGAATTTTACTAGTTCAGCTACACCATTGAAGAGCTTATCAGGATAGAAAGAAAGTGCAGCCTACCCATTTCTATTTAAGCTTGACTTTTGTACCATTTTCTTTTGGATCTATACTGAAGTTCTAGTATTTCTCTCAGTGGGCATTTGAGTTGATAGAAGGGCTTGATTTTGAGTTGTCCCATATTCAACTCAGAGTTATTATTTATTTAATTCCTTTTTAGGGTCAGGCAAACAAATGACAATTATATGCTGATGGAGGGCTCATTTTTGTGATGCCCGTCTCTACTGGAAGCTGGCCCATATTTAGCATGCATCTCAGGCCTTTTATGTACTCATACGATACAATAAGCAGACGTCCCAACATAGCTAATGGAAATACTAAATAGATGAACTGTTAGTTGTTTAGAAGTTAATGAGTACTCATTAGTAACATTAACATCAAATTTTTTCCAATGTGCAGAAAATTGAGAAGTTAAAATCAGTTTGCCTTCAGTATGCTGCTTCTATCCAGCTGTTAGTGCCATCAATGTATGTGCCGGAAGTAGCTAGCACAAATGATGGAACTGGTTCCTTTGGACTGGGAAGATCTAAACCATGGAGATCTAAGAATAAGAATCGGCAATTAAAACTTGCAGCTGAGAATACCATAATATGTGATTCCATCATGTATGAAGCACAGTACACTTCAGAAAATTCTTATTTTGGACGTCATCTTCTATTGCATCTGTAATTAGGGTTTGCTTCCTTTCATGCAGGAAATTCGAAAAGGAGTTCAATGATGAGCTCCAGAGTTTAGTTCCCATCCTAAGCAGCAGTTCACAAGCAGAACCATACCTGACGCATCTTGCCCAGTGTATTCTTGGGTTGGGAAGCGAACAATAGCTTCTTTGAAGGTGCGTACATCACATCATGCTTCCTTGTTCCCTTGCTTTTGTGAAGCTGTAAATTAAAATTGAATACTTAAGAACTTCAAGTATCACTGTGATGATTTTCCCGACTAGTTCTCCTGTAGTGCCATGCTGTTGCACCTTTTGTCATGGTTGCTCCCCAGTGATAACATATCTTGGCTTGGTTGGAATTATGTCATGGTTCTGAGTTTGCAAGACAAGGGCTAATTACTGCTGAGACAATTTGATGTCATCGTATGTTCTTGGTTCAGAGCTGTCAGAGTGAAGTACAAAAGAAAGGAACAAAAATCCAGAATCACTTGCATTAGTTAATGAGACAGAAAAATTGGCTACGAGAGGGTTTATTGCAAGTTCTCATTGTATTCTCGCTGTTTGATAAATTCCATGCAGGATAGAATGTTGTATTTAGCAAAGTAGCTTCTACGGTCTTAAAAGATACATTACAGTCCAGCAGAACCGATTTTAGCATCAAATTAAAGTTACTGTATTGTGATTTGGGTGATGATGATCTTAGTCATCATGGAAATAGTTTCTCCACCTGTATTGACTCTGCAAAGTTTTGCACTTTGATTGCCTTTCTTTCTTATGTCGTTTTCTATTGACAAACAGATTTCTTAATATTTGTGGAAATTAAGGTATCTGCAAGTATATATATATATATATATATAAAAGAAATTTTTGCGAAGCGTCTCAACTTCTAAAATTTTTTGTAGAGTAGCCTTTATATAAAGAGATAATTTTACCTTTGCCTTTGTGGGTTTGTCATTGCCTTCATCTTATACCACTACTCTTGTCTTGGTGGATCCTATTGTTCCTTGTCAAATCTACCTAAATGCATCTTGTTCTTGTCATTCTTGCTCATGGTATAAGTGACAAATATTGTTGCTCTACCTCTACTCTCGTTTGTCTAGTTGGGCTTACCCTTGTCTCAACAAATCTTGTTGATCTTCATTGGATTTGTTCTTGCCTTTACAAACCTTAGTGGCTCTTGGTAGATTTGCCCTCTAGTCGAATTTGTCACTATGTATTTCACCCTTGTCGTCCTCACTCATTGCATAGATGACCAATGATGAAGGCGTAAGCGAAGAGGGTTACATCTAGCGTCCTTTCTCATGGCCCTTGGGCGAGGATGAGATCGTGCGGGTCACCCTTTTGCCTTATCACTTTGGTGAGGGTGACAAGTAGGAGTAATATTATCATTTAGAAAAAAAAATAATTTGTAGGAATTTTTAAAATTTTGGATGCTAAATGAAATTTTTTTAAAAAAATTATCATATATATATATATATATAAGAAACAATGGCAGACGTAATAATTTAAACCAAGTATTAGAATCCATAAAGCTAATTTTAGCTGCACTTGTTGTACACAGTTGCAGCAGATAAGCATACGCATGGAGACAGCTGTGTCATGGGGACAATTAGTATTTTTCTTCTCTCTCTCATTTGTTGTTCTTCCTCTTAATTTGCAAAAGGTGGTCAACCTCAAGTAGCCACGCAAAACACGCTTCCACGTTCATTTCTATCTCTGTGAACAGGATATGATCTGTATGTACTACACACCATAAAATGGTTGTGTTCTTCTAATGAAAGGTGAATGGGGAATGGAACGCGACTTAACTGTGGGGAAACCCTTCCAAGTGAGTAGAACTTGTCTTGCCATTGTCATTCTCTGTGTTCTTCCAGGATTTGTCATTTGCCTTTTTGATGTTGGAGTTGAATCTTCTCTCTTGTTTGGTTGTCCTTCAGCTTCCATTATCTTATTGGAAGATGTAAGTTTTTTTTGTTGAAATGGATCAGTGGGACAAATTAATCAATCAGGTATGGATTCCATCTCATATGATGTCTTCAATAAATGTTTCTCCCACACATATATATACATATATATAGTATGCCATAAATTAGTAAGTGCTTAAGAACACATTGGATTGGAAGTGAAAGAAAGGACGAAGTAATAAGAATTCAATATTAGTTCAAAATGATCACATTTTATAATCATTATTAATTGTGAACAAAAATTTTTTGTTTAAATAAAGAAAAGTTGTATTTAGAACTACGATGAGTTATTAATAGTTCTCCAATTAAGGCTATATTTGTAAGTTTGGATGGAATTCAGATATAAGATTATGTCGATTAGCACTCAGATATCACCGCTATCAAATCAGTTCGATTAATCACAAAAACTGGTATAAAAAAAGAATTCTAAATCTAACTTGAGTATTCTACCATAATCATGATCATCAACATCAACATCATCACCATCACTTCTTTCTTTTCTTTGAGGAAATCATCTTTGCCACCCTACAAAATTAATAACATCTTTCTTAAAGGGTAATAATAAAGGAAAGACCACAAAATGTATGTCTATTTTTTTGTGATTCTAACAATATCTCAACCACATTTCATAACAGATGACATGAGTGAAAGCAAAAGCAGCTCTAAGAAGGTGAGTTTGATACCAAAATGTGCCCATTCTTCTATTCTGTGCTATCAATTCATGATGGTTCTCATAAACAACAGGAAACTGTTTTGGAGCTGAAAGTGTACATGCATTGCAAAGCCTGTGAAAGATCAGTACACAACACTCTCAGAAAACTTGAAGGTATAATATACGTATCGGCTACTCGCTTGGTGAGCATATACAACATATCAAACTGGATTCAGTAACATGAATCAAACTCCTTGTAGGTGTGGAAGCTGTCAAAGTGGACATGAACAGCCACAGAGCCATCGTAACTGGTGAAGTTGACCCAGAAAAGGTTGTGAAGAAGCTCAAGAAGAAGACTGGTAAAAGAGCAGAAATCATCACCAGAAAGATTGAGATGGCTCCAGCAGCTGGTGAATGCAGCAGCAACACAAGTGAAGCGAGTGCAGTCATTCCTGACCACTTTGATCAGACTCTGGTAGCAGGTTTCAGCTTGTTCAGTGATGAAAACCCTAATGCATGTTCAATTACATAGCATGTGTCCTATAGGTTCAAAACCTCATGGCTCATCTTCATCAACTACTTGCAGATCTGTTGCTTCTTTCCTTGCCTATCATAAGATCAACGGAGAACATGAGCAGAAAAATAACCGATAAAACTAAGAAAACAACAAGGTCAATAGATAATTTTATTGGCAAAATGTTGTGAACGCGTCGATGCTAATTACACATGTTTGATTATACAATTGTTTAGTATGATCACAAATGAAAAGATACTAAAAATCCCTAATGTTACTAATTTACAACAAGGAAAATATATACAAGGATGCAAACTAAAATCGAATATCGGTATTCGATTGCTCTTAACCGATAAAACAAATCCATCATGTTAGCAAATAGATTTCAAACATCAATCATTAATTTCAAATAAAAATGTCAATTGTTAGGTAATGTAATGCTTTTATTATGTAAAACAACCTGCCCTAATTTTACATAATATCTCATGTAAACCATCTTCTTTTGCCTAAAAATACACGTTCAACATTCAACACTATTATTTTTAAAAATGCAATTGGGATGAATCTCATGTAGGGTGGGGTGATAAGTCAAGTAAAAAGATAATGATATCATAATTTAGTCTCACACTAGAGGCAGGAGATTTCAATTGATTTATAGGGTTAAAAATGATCACTATTAACTTAACAAAATGTTAAGTTCTTAAAATTGGATGTATAGTGTTACACTCCTCGCCTTGAAAACCCTTTTAGTTTCAAGCATCTCATCCATATTTGAAAGAAACATCTTGAATTGTCGTTGCTTGGACACTTTAACTAATGGCATAGAATCTATGGCATCTTGATGCTTCCTCTGCGATGCTCCGAGACAACTCACTCCATCAAGTGCAACTTAAACGCAAATTATTGTTTTTTTTTTGGGAGAAAGAATATCCTTAAAAAGAATAGAGGAGAAAGAAGAAAAAGAAGAAAGGAAGGAGAAAAATAAAGTATTAGAATTAATAACTCGAGTTATGATGTCTTTAGGAGCTTACACGACTTTTATTTACGGTCTCTCTCTCTCTCTCTTGCTTTATTTTTTTTTTTTCTCAGCTTACATGTTTATAAGAAAAGCTTATCCCATATTTCTATGAAATCCTCTCGTTACATAGCTTTATCATTCTAAATATAAATTTTAAATAAAAAAATTAACTTGTTAAATCTATACTATAAGCATATCAGAGTTTCAGCAGACTGATTTGATTTTAATTACTATTTTAGATGCATTGGTGAGACAAACAAGTATTCGAGCCTTGACTTGAATTTTGTCTTGAGAAACAATTGATGAAGAAAATCCCTTTTTTTTCAAAATAAAAAGAGCATATCTGCTTTACCAATGCTTGAATTTCAATGAAATCAAAACATTTAGGGCTCCTACGATTGCCAATTTGTTAGAAATTAAATTAATTCATTGCTTTATGATCCTGATTCATAAGGCTCATCACATGTTTTCTTTCATACTTGGTCGAGTTTTGCCCAAATTAAAACTTCGTTACTCGACTGTAGTTCTTATCGAAAAATTTTATTCCGATGAATTGTTGAGGAAGAGCTTTGTTAAATAGGGTTCGGGAAGGTTAGGGTTTGCGATTATTACTACAACAGATGCGGACTAGACGTCAAAGCAAAGAACCTATCGTGGAGTTAACAAACAATGTAATTAACCTTGGATCACAAGCGATGATAGAGGCACCAAATCATACAAGAATTCAAGCAGAATAAGAGGCTCCAAGGAGAGCTAGGAAGAGGAGAGATTTAGTTAGGGTTAGGGCAAAGATCGGGCACCTGTTTCCAAGACGCGCTTTCACTCTCCGCACATCGAGCTCGACATCGAGAGTTGGGAGAAGATGAGAGGAGGGTGCTTGGGGATTCGGAGCGTCGGAACTCGATCGGCGAACGTATGCGCAGACGAGCAACGCCCGGACTGTCCGGTTCGAGCTATTCAAAGATGAACCCGGTTCGATTTGGGTCTCTCGGGAACGGTGACAGGGACACTATCGTAACGCGGTCCAAACGCTCGCCTGTCTCGCCACCCTGCTTAGGGATGGGGCCCACATTGGGCCCGACTCTGAGACCGCCAATCACGTAGCAGAGGAATCAGAATTGGTAGCACGGTTCAAATCAAGCCCTAGCTTCCGTTTCCCACCCAATTCCCAACCTCCTCGAAGTCTCGAAGGGCAGAACGCGGCGACTCCTCCTCCTCCTCCTCTCCCGACAACTAACGGGCGCGGGGGTGGTTGGTAGCAGTGAGCGGCGGAGGACGGTACTTTCTCTTTCTTCTTGTGTTCAATCGTCTAGAAGGAAAAAACCCTCCTTTTTCTCGTCTCAGTCAAAGCGAAGGTGCAGCAGAAAACCACCTCGTCAAACGAAATCGAAAGCAAAGATCTATCTGTCTTGTTCGAATTCATCTTGATTTTCCAGAAAACTGTAAGCTTAGGTTTGATGCGAGATTCTTGGGATGCCGAGAAAGGGCAGGAAGAAAACAGTAAAAAAATCTCCCTTGAAGCCCAAGGACGACGGGAGTGCTGTTCCGGTTACGAATGGTGCTCTCAATTTCGAGGAGCGACAACGTGCATTCAACAGTCGAGAAGGTATGGGTTCATCTGTCAAGCTTATTCAATGAAATCGTTTCTCTTTTTTTCCCTTTTCCTTTTTTTTTCTCATTTTAGAAGTTTATGATGCCAATATTTGATCTGTATCTTGTAACAACTTTTGTTATTTGTCTAAATTCTTCTTGCTGATGGCCGAATGTACATATTGGTACCAATGATTTCAGTTCATCTTGAATCCGTATGTTCATCCAATGCCTATGACTGTAGTGCATTTAACATTAATGAGTTATCTCACTCCAAAAGATAATTTTTATACTCTTTTGCATGTCTTCTCCTAGTGCTAAATTACTCTTCTACAACAACTGTTGAACAACTGGTGTAGGTTTAGTATAGTTAATGCATCATCGGGACATAGTTTAGCTCAACTCGGCAATTTCAGATTTGTTAGATTGCTTGGTTTATGATATTTTCTGATATTAAGGTTGAATTGACAAGGTAGAATGACCTTGAACTGCATGTTTTAATAACTGAATTGGCATTCAAGAATTCTGAAGTGTACATGCTACAATAGCTGTTGGTAAGAATGCCAGGAAAATTATGTAGATTTTTTGTCTTGCAATATTGGTTGGCAGAGAGAGAGCTGAATGCTTTTTATACCACATTTGCTCCATTTCTTCTTTAAACACAAGCTCGTTAGTGGTTTATCTAATAGTAAGCCTGATTGATGGCTTGTTGATTCACTTAAGAAATATTTGATTGCCAGAAAATTGTAGCTCAGTCACCAAAATGTTTGACAGTTTGATGACATTTCATCACTTCTCAGTATAATGACATCGTCAAGGAACATATGACATTTTTCGACTACATGGAAGTCAACATTTGCTGAACTGATTTTATCTATCTGGCTTCTGCTAGGGTTTCAGGACTTTAAGTTTAAAATCTATATCAAATTCAACCATCAAATTGCTAAGTTGATGATGGAAGAACCCTCATAATTTCTAAGATTGTCAGTAATTTGAAACTATCTTTTTAAGTCCGTGTAGAATCAACCTGAGAGTGTAATGAAACACTCCCTCTTCTATACTCTGTTTTGCACTTTCCTCTGCTGACCTAACCTTCTTATTTCATAGCTCTAGTTGACAACATATTTTCCAAGTCTTTCAAAGGGTTTAATGGCTTGGTGCATCTTCTGAAGTTCATAAGCTTGTTACTTCATTAAATTAATTTTTTTATAATTGTTAGTTGGTTAGGTTTAGGTTTGGTTTCTATCTGTCCCTCCATTGTAAAGCATCCTCCTTTATAATTTGTTTGGTTTATCCTTTGCGCTTTTGCAGTTGAACGGCGAACTTCTGCAATCCAAGCTATTTGTATAGCAGAGACTGAAAACTTGCTCTCGAGGTTGCGCTTGCTTCGATCGTACCTCAGCAAAGAACAGCTGGAGACTCCTGCATTGAAATTTTTCCATGAGAACTTGCCCAATGTAACAGTGACGAGGAATGAGAAGTACCAAGTTTTTGAGTTGCAATGGAAAAACAGGGAGGATTATTTACTTGAAAATCCTGGTGGTTGCAAATTTGCTCGTGCTTCAATTAGTAATGCTCTCAATATGCCAGCAATGTGTGGCCTTCAGTTTTCAGTCAACTCAGGTTGGGACATTATTTTCTATGTTGTCTTTTCTTTTCTGAGAATATTAATATGTTTCTTTCTGCTTTATGACTTTGGCAGTGAAGAAGAACCTCCTAGAGACTGCAAACCTTCAGATGCCTGACTTTGTATGTTCACTTATTTATGTAATATTATTATTCCAACTTTATTGGTGTAGAATAACATATGTCGTGCTTAGAAGATTTTACTGCTTCATATTCCTCGATGCTAGGGTTTAGATGAGCCATCAGAAAATCAGATTCGAGGAAGACGAGATGCATTTGAAACTCCTGGGGTTTGTTCTTCATTCTATTATCTTTTTATTTGAAGGTTCTACTCATACATGCATTTCATTACCATGTGGATTAATGGTCTTCTAAGTTGTTGTTAGAAATCACCAGGCTGTGTTCTTGTACTCTCTTCGATACCTTTTCTGGTTGCCTAATGAAACATATAATATATACTGTAGGCAACTAGTAACAGGTTATCTTTTGGCATGACGCCGAAGACCCTAAGGCTACCAAAGAATGGTGAGATGCTCTTGTCTGTTCATGGTTCACCTCTGGGTGTGTACAAAGAAGAGAGTTTGGCAGCCATACATGGTAAACTGTTTCTCTCACATAGTTTCCTTTTTTGGAGTATTATTTAAGACAAGTGTTTTCTATATCTTGGCTATCTTTTATTGTTAACCTCCAGAATCTGGAGATGGAAGTCATGAAGGTGCTTGCTGAAATCCGAGGTGCTTCCTATATCTCATTTGTGCATGTTACTAAGAATTATTTCTATCTATGCTGTTGAATATGATTTTTCCTCATCTTCTGTTTCAGGATCCCTGATTGGTGGATCAAAATTACTAGAATTAGCTCAATAGCTTCACGATATTAAGCATGATTCATCGACAGATAGATAAGAGTATATACCCTTTTTCTCTGCCAATGTATCACCAGGATGGACTTTCAGATGAAGATGACATGATTCTTGAAGTAACATTACCCTTGAGTTTGACCATCGAGGAACCGCCAAGCATCGCCATTGGCATCCAATGAACATTGACGCATGTGTATCTTGTTAATTTGCAAGCATCGTGCTTTCAGCTTTAAGTGAATGTGCTTGTGTTTACGCGAAGCATTGAGACACCAAACAAATATTAATGATAGTTAGTATCCTGTTGTAATGTATGACAATATCCTATTATTACTAATAGACTTGGACTTCAGCCTGGATTGTTCAGCTTCCTTCTCAATGTGCTTTTAACTATCACTAGCATGTTCAGCTAGTTTAAACACTAAAATGTGGTTATAGTCTTTGGTCTTGTGACCGACAATGAATTCAATAAATTACTATTAAAAGAGCTGTAAATTCATGTTGGATTAGTTAGAGATGTTGAATATTGAAACTAAAACTGTCTCATAGAACTGGTACAATCTTGGGTTTTGTAGTTTCAATCATGGTTCATAATTTTGTATGCCGTATGTGATTCAAATTGGTATTGTATCAGTGTACTAAGTGTTGGTATATCATAATTATCGAGTTCTCAAAATATTCTGAAATGAGTTAAAGAAAATGAAAAATGCTTAGTACCAGGCTATACTGGTTGCTATTTTCCTTGACACGCATATTGATTGACTATGTCGTATCAGGTGGTATAGCAAACCTTGGTTTCAACTATTATTAGTTGTAATTTAGCTCTAATTGCTCATTCTAAACATGAACTTAGATTGAAAATTATGGGTTATTCAAACCATAATTTCGGATAAAGATCCTCATTTTGGATCAATAAACCAAATCATACTTAGATTCGATCCAGATTCAATCTGATAAAAACCCTACAAATATTCCCTGGAAAAACTAGAATTCAAATAATCACAAGAAATCTAATAATCTAATCTCATACCCTTCAAATGTAAAACCATAACAAAAAAAACATACATACAAAAAACATAAACAGGAGCATTTCTACAAGAGAGCATCACCTACAAAAACAGCAACCTACACATCTACATAAAAGGAAAGATGACCTCGGTACTATAAATCTATAATGCATTAAAATGATGGTGGCAGCTCCTCTGTTCAGTTCAAGCACCATTGAAGAGAGTGGTAAATTTAGTTACCATCATTACTCCTGCAGGGTTGATAAGAACTTTAATGGTGCCTACTCAAGTGTTTGGAAGATCTTCAGGCACAAGATGCATTTAAAAAGTTGATATCTGTTACAAGCTGGACAAAGATAACCAAATAAAATCATAGAGTACCTTTAGTAGAGTAAGTTCACTCTTAATAAAAAAAAAAAGGTTCACTCTTAATCCAGAATAGACTTGTACTAGGCTGAATCTTACCAAAGGCCTTTGTTCTGCGATCTCATCTTCACCGGTGTCTCTTCCACTACTTGGTCTATCCGATTTAATCATCAAAGTTCTTGACAAAACTGCACCCACTATTGGTCGATCTGCCAGTTCCGTGCAAACTTAGAGACAGACAAGTAGCTGTGCAGATGGAATTATATCATGAATTACATACTAAATATAAATTTTAATCTTTTGTGGCATTGGTTGCTACATTGCCAAGTTCATCAGAACCTCTGCGACACCTCACTGATCAAGTGTCTTCACTTGGATTGCTACCAAGTGGAAACTTCAGATGGAAAACAACCTTATAAACATAGGCATTAAAATCTCTCCAACATGTGTTTTAGTGAACAATCAATAATATTGATGACATGATTTGCTGCTGTTTGTACACCATACAGAGTCATCATCGTGCCACCCAAAAATAAAATCTCATAAAAGTTCCTAATGAGTTCCACTCACTTTTCATCACTTGTTATATACCTGGTCTCAATAGAAAGCATAAAAATATTTGTGACTTCTTTTTTCTGTGCTGGAAATATCTTAGTGAACAGAATCCGAGAATTTTCAGCATTGAAGTCGAGCATTTCATGTCCTAATCCAGAATCCAACAATATCTTGAGGCTGCATAGCAAATGCAGATAAGAGATTTCTTGGACGACTGAACAGATCATCTGAGTGATTCTTGTCACATTTGCTGCATCTTGTATTTTTGTTTGGTATTTTTTTTGGAGGGTCGTTTGGGTTTTTGGCTGTTTGCGCCTATGTAGACATTACCCCTCCCAAGTCAGCCTCATGCATAAGTACATTCTGGATGCTAGTAGCTTTCATGTGCTCCATATCAGCTATGCTTATTACAAATTGAGAAGGGAACAAACATTTCCTGGTTTGAACATTCAACATTCATTATTGTTTTCCTAAAAAGGAACGATCACAAAGGGGATTGGGATTTTGCTGGTGCTGATCTTTCGTGCCTGCCAAAAGTAACTACATATAACAGATTGTAACATACGTATGTTCTATCATGAACTCCCCTAACGATAAAGTCCAGGACTAAAATGGAGGGCATTTGAGATAATAATTCCAAATTTGTGATGCAGAGCAGTTCTCCATGGGAGACAAATTACATTTCTTGGAAAGAAAACATTTGTCAAGAAAAAGGAAAAATATATGTAAGATTTCATGCATAATATGTCACTTTCAAGCTTGTGAACCAAACAAAACTCATAGAGGACCTAATGATGAAATTGCATGTTGGATTATTACTTTCCACTCATGGTTATATTGATCTGCACATCATATAATCATATTATGCAATCAATAAAGGTTGACCAAAGCATCGGAAAAGGGGGCATCACTTAAAATTCCGGTGAGAATTGGAACACTAGAACATTTCTCAATAGCATTTCAAAGCAGAAAGAACTGAAACAGCCACTCCGACTATGTCAGTGAGCTTTGTGCATCAGGCCTTTCTTTTTCTTTTTTTCTAAAAGAACTTCAAGAAACCAAAGGTGGATGTTTTTTACCTTCTCTTCCATTGGATCAAACATCATATCCAATTTCTAGCTTGTTTACTAAAATAAAACTTAAGAAGATGACCAACGAAGAAATTTCAGGTTGAATCACTGCTTATCATCACATTGCTCGGTGCATGACATTAAACGAATCGTGCAATCAATGAAGGTTCCACCAAACAATCAACTTTAGGGCATAGCTTAAATTGCTGGTAAGACTTAGGATATAGCAAGAACATAGTTTCTTAGCAGAAATCAAAGAAGATGGTTGCTATTTTACCTCCTCTACTTCCGTTGTATCATTACTTACCATTGATGGCCACATGGATCTATCATAACAGTATATAAACCATGCAATCAATGAAGTTTCACCAACAATCAATGAGACGGAACACTATAATTTTTACCTCCTCTTCCATTGGATTAACCCAGCTTTCTCGGCGGCACCTCCACCGGACGGGAGGGCAAGAGGGGCCGTCCAATGCTTCCGATCTCGAAGAGAGTGTTACTCGGTGGAACAAGGTCATAGTCCGGCGTGCTCCGCCGATCCTGGGGACGTCGCACGTGCACGCCGCATGCGTCTAAGAGAGAGAAGTGGCGAGGAGTACCCGCAAGCGTTCTTATAGAAGAAGGGAAACAAGTCGGCCTCGTGTCGTTCGTTTCCGTTTCCGTTACCGCTCCGACGTGGCGATTCGATTCCCCAATTATATACTTTTATATCTTATTTAAAAAAAAATCTATTATTAAAAATATTTAAATTTTTCTATGGATAAATTCTCGAAAAATACCTCTAAGAAACTTGTACCATATTTTTTTTATAAATGATAATTTTGCTCTTGATCCCTGTCGAACTTGCCTCTACCTCCATTTGATATTATCTCTGCATTGTCTTCATCACCATCTTCCTTCTTATCTGGTCTTCATCACCATCTTCCCACCTTCACCCCCTTGACTCTCATCATACTCGTCACCTTATGCTCACTATTCTCGTGCACTGCACATATAACTAATATCATTGTCCGTAACCTTCACACAAGGAAGCAGTGGCACAAGAGTCATTATTGCCTTTGCAAACCTTAATAATCCTTATCAAACCTCGCCTTATGTGTCTTGCTTTTACTATGCTCTCTTATGACCCTTAAGTGAGAAAAAAGATAATGGTCCATTCTTCTTCATACAATGGCAAGGCGGGTTTGATAGAATCAACAAAAATAACGATAAATCAATTGGGACAGAAGGAAGAAGAGGCAACGATGTAAGGTGAAGGTGGAATCGACGAGGGTTAATATCTTTTCACATAATATGTAGGAATTTTTAAAAATTGATGCATGTGAATTTTTAGATTTTCTTTTCAAGAATTCACCTAATTTTGCTAATGGTATTTGTTTTTATTTATAAAATAAAAATAAAATTATTATATTTGTTGCTCTTTCATCCCTATCATCGTTTTTACTGTAATGTAAACCTTAAACATCCATTTTTTTTTTCTCTAAGATATATTTTATTTATGACTTCTTGGCAATTGTCTTGCAGGATAAAGATAATTTTCCCAATGAAAATAAAATATGCATATAAAATATGAAAAATAAGGTGTCCTGTTGACTTTTCTTTTCGTCAGTGTTGCTATCTTATTATATGACCAAACTAACCCTCTATCCCGAGTTCTCTCCTGTGAATCAACGTCAACCGTCTGATTAAAGATCGTCGTCTGAGATGCCATTCCATGACAGCAGCTCTCCACCGTGTGATGCCAGGTGTCGTTTATTTTACTTTTTCCAGTAATTTTCTGCTGTGCGTTTGGTGGGTCCCCGCCTGGGAGCCCAATTCTCACCTAATAACAAGAAAGGTAGTTTCCAGGTAAATTCTATTTGGGTGGAAGAAGTATGTCCGTTCTTGGACTCCCATGTAATTTTGCAAAGTCAGAGGGCAATACTGTATTTACGCACTCGTAAAACAGGTTGCTGGTGGCTCGGCTGTCCAATTGTTGAACTCGTTCAGTTCAGTTTGTTTCCGAGTCGACTCGGGTCGGATCGAATGGAGGGCTTCAAGAGTTGAGGCTTCTCGTCGGCCTCATCGGACTGCCATTTCCTAGCTTCGCAGGTCCTCCAGGTTCGGACGCCTCTGTTTCCCGGTGCTCCAAGTTCCACTCCTTGCCGGTGGAAAGTGCGAGATCTTCTTCAGTTGGTTCCCCTCTTGAGCAAAATCAAGAAAGCCCTTATATCCTCTCTAAGCTTCTCCAGGTAATTTTCGCGATCACCGCCTTCCAATCCTTTTCTTTTGGGCCGTCAAATCTTACTGCTAATGCTTGTATTCTAGAATTTAATCTTGGATCTCAAACTTCGCGCCTGAATTTGCTCGTTGACCGATTAGGTTTTTGTGTTTTTGGCATCTATTAATGTGGGTTTTCGTTGGTTGGTTGAAATTTTGGATTGAAATCGTTATTCTACACTTTAGCATGCCACGAACAATTGCATCCGGAACACCAGAGACTTTGTACCGAAAACCTTAGTTTCAACCTTACAGAACTTGCGATTTAGGTTTTGGGTTTTTTTTTACTTTTTATTAAGAAAATCAGTTATTTCCAATATACTGTAAAACTAATGATTATAATCTATGTTAAACAAAAAGATGAGGAAGGAAATATTCTTGCTTTAGCTAGTGATATAATGTGTTGCTGGCACATCATTGTGAATTACCACACTACATAAAATGCCAGCACACTTTCTTTCATGTTGTCTGTGTTAGTATAAAAACTGCAATATGCTACTATTTTACAAAAAAATTTAATATCAAAATATAAATCAAATAACGATATATCAAAATTATGTATCTTTGGATGTCATTCAGAAAATCTTTATCTGATTTGTAAATATACCACCGTCGAACCTAAAAACTATAGCGATATCGTTTTGTAAGGAGAATTAGACTCACGTTCTCCTTTCTTCCTAATCCTTCACAAGACCATTATGAGTGATGAAAGAGGCACTAAGAGAGATTGATAATAGAACAGTAATTTCAATTTTTGGTGTTTTGTCCTTAGGAGGTCATGTCCTTTTATAGGCGAGAGCAGAGGGTTTAGGATGGTAATTAGGAAAGTCTCTCATATCAAGGTCATCTCCAAAAAAATTCTATCATAGTTGGACTTCCTTTATAGCTGATAACTATAACCAAAATCTAATGAAATCTATAATATATCTTATCTAATTAGATAGGACCACATAATCTAACAGGTTGTTCAATTTTTTCTGACCTCCTTTCCATATTTAGTGATGAAGTGACACCACCCATGTGGCATCATGTGGTGGCTGCTTGTCAAAAGATCTTTAACCCTAAAGATCAAAGATTTTGATGGTTAAACTTAAATCCATTATTTGTCAGTTTGCACTATTACTGATCCGATTTGTGATAAGCACAATCCAGTTATATCTTGTAATAAGACCCATAGTTTTAGATGTCAGTAGCATGTTGAATCAAGTTTTTGTGAGCAGTGGCCTGAGAACTCATGAAACTTGTTGCAGAGTGGTACACCTAGTGTTGCTCTGATTTCTAGGAGGTTATTTAGGCACTTGATTTGTTGATCGTATACTGTGATGGCCACACAACACAGAAAAAGAAAATTTGAAATTTATTTCTTTCACAAACCAAGTGCATCGATCTTTGAGGGAA